TTTGCCAGCAAAGACCAAAAATTTTATGAGCGTGGAATTATGCTACTACCAGAAAGATGGCAAAAGGTGTTGGACCAGAACGGTCAATATATAATTTAATAAAGTATTTGTTTATTATACGAAAACTGTCTTTCATTTCCACAAAAAAAAAACGAAATGACTTTCCGAACAACCCTATATAAATTAGAAAGCTTATGGAATAGCGTGATAGAGAAGTTTACAAATGATGAGGTTTTAGAAGAAGAAGGGCGCTGTGAAATTCAATAAGAAATAGGTGAAATAAGTTGGTAGGATATCTTCTTAGGCATGAGAGACATACTAAACGCAGAAACAGGAGATTACTATTAACAAATAATTAAGGAGGTGGGATGTTCGAGTTTTAAGAAAATGCGTAGCTCAGGATAGGAAAAGTGAAGATGCGTGAACTAGTTTTAGGACTGGCGCCCCTAAGTTGACAATGAGAAAGCACATGAGAAATGATTCATAAGGAACAAAGTATTCATTTAATTAATGCGTTCTGAAGTTTTTTTGTCAGTGTTTCAATTATTAAGATAATAACTCAAACACGTGCTGCTTTCTGTCAAAACATAATTCTTCCGTCGATTGAAAATGAACAGTAATCTCATTATAATGCAAAATATTTGGTAGTGGGTGGGTAATTAAATTACGGATATTGAAGTCGATCAATCAAATCGAAAATAACTTGTGTAAATTAGCGGGCTAACGACATGCCGGCTGAATATTGATGGCAACGTAGCTGGAAGGAAGCCAATTGTACAGTTAAAAGAAAATATGCCGAAAATTTTCAAGTCTACATCAGGTAGTCTGAGGCTCAACGTGCAAAGTTACTGTGTTTCCTAATTGCCAGTTAGTAATGTACGTAAATAAGCAAAACGCCGACGAAAATACGTACTCTCCGTGTCATTTGAAGATTCACTTATGACTTGTGCATTATTATTTATCATTTTGGCATGGAATGCGAATTGAGTCAACGCCTTGAGCTAATTGACAGAGTTTCCAAGTGAAAAATAACACGTTACGTCACTCGTAGGTGTGTAATAGTATTATTATTGGGTAAAATGTTCTTATCTACTGATATTTACGTTCGTCTGTCATCTCGTAATCAACTGGTTGTCGGTAACACTTTTGTTATAGGTACTTACTAGTTGCTTAGCTAATGATAGATTTATTGGTCGAACTAGGAAAATATTATTTATTTATTAAGTTAATGTTCAATTCGCTTTTAAGGTTCATTGGAAAAGAAAGCGGGTTTACCAATACCAAGACTGGAAGGGTCATGGTATTGATCTTGTTTGCTACCAATTTATCTATTATTAATTCCTAAAGATAGAAGAAGCTCTAATAGAAACCATAGACATGCAAGAAGTAAGTATGCACAAAATTAATGTTTGATAATTCCTTAAAATGAAGATATGTTAGTTTCTCTAAAACCACCAAAAAATTTATTCTTAAACGCTAAAGTCATGAAACTGGTAAGACACCCACCTCCGCTTTTTCCTATCCTGAGCTAATCTTAGCGTTTTAGGTTTCTTAAAGTTTTATGGAATTGTGGATTTGAAGTGTTTATTAAGCAAATAATAGTCGATCAACTGGTAAGAATCTAGTTTCTTCATAGCATCGCGATGACCCTTGAATGTTTCAGTGGGTGAGGTGTAACCAACTAAAGAGCTAGAAGAACTCGGGTGCCTACCGTTTCAATCCATTTGTGAAATCACATACTTATACAAAACTTCACGCAACAAGCAGTGGGGAGTCATGCATAGGCAACTGTTGATTACAAAAGTCGTAATCAATAGCGAACAGATCGGACGCAGTGGGAAAACACCTTTACGGAACTCTTGAGATGCGTGATGCTCATACAGCTCACCGAGCAGCATAGCCCAGAAGTTTAGACCATTGCTTGGCATTCGGGAGGACGCCGGTTCGATTCCGGGTCCGTCTGCCTTGGTTCAAGTTTTTCTGTGGTTTCCTTGGATCACTTAGGTAAATGCTGAGGCAGGAATAATCCACAGATAATCTTTCTTTCTCTTGTGTCTTCTTTTCGTCCGTCTCATCTTTCTCACCCGAACCACCACCCACCTATTCTCACGATTCCTGAAAGGAGGCTGAAGTAGGCCTTCCGCCCTACCTTCCGGCATAGTCCGGAGGGACTGCCCGCCCACTGGTGAGAATGAAACACCCAAAAGTTTTTAAGTGAAACTTTTATTGCATCGCTCCATTTTTTTCGTCCATCTATCGATGTCGCATTACAGCCAGCCGCGGAGTAGGGGTACAACTGAGAAGCGCTCGGCAGAGCAGCAAAGGTCAATATGGCGGCGCCCATGGCTCGCA